CATCCTTGTCATTGCCCAGTGGGCCCATGAACAGAGTGGTCATGGTGGCAGAGATGGATGTTATGCATAGGCTCAACATATGGACCTCCACTCACCAAAGCTGACCTGGCTATAGCTGCTGCTGAGTGAGAACCTTCCAACAGTAGAAACCCAACACTGAGTCCCCCAAATGGCACCATTTCCTGGGGTGACCAGCCAGCGACCTGATGGGAGTTGACTACATTGGGCCACTTCCACTGTGGGAAGGATGCTTTGTCCTTACTGGAGTAGATACTTATCCTGGTGATGAATTTTCCTTTCCTGCACATAATGCTTCTGTCAAGACCACTGTCCATGGGCTTCCAGAATGCCTTATCTATCATCATGGTATTTCACACAGTATTGCTTCCAACCCAGGAACTCACTTCACAGCCAGCATGGGGGAAACATTAGGGATGGAGTGGTGGAACTTTCCTGTCATCTGATAACATCATCCAGTGTCGCCACATGTTTAGCAACCTAGAAGTTGGTTAGACTTAGTAGTTCAGTTTTTTTTATGCATCTTAACCTCCAGACCTTCTCTTCTCCTTCCTGGAAATAAGTGGGTGGGCTAGAAAATCAGGACAGCGTTCTTGTGACCATTACCATCCATATAAGGTCAAGCCTCAGTTGCTAACTTAGCGTACATTTTCTCAGGCTATTCCAAGATTTTTAGGAGTCCTGTGCTAGGAGCCAGGAACAAACACCAATTGTATCTATTACACCAACTCAGATAGTATAAAATTTACTATTTGTAAGGGTATGGTTTGGTAAATTCATTTTGTTTTGCCACAGACTCCTAGATCCTTGACATCTTGTAAAACTCAAACTCTGGGAAGGCCAGAAAAGAGGATGGAGAAGCCCATTGAGTTTTAAAATAAGTATGAATTAATTATGGCAAAAATAAAGGACTATTCCAAACAAACCCTGAAACTCTGGATTCATTAGACCCACAATCTTGTTCCTCCATTCCCTGGCAGTCTCCATTGTATTTCCTTTGAACTTGATCACTTGAGATGTCTCATGGCATTGGGATCATACAGTGTTTGTACTTCTGTGACTGGTCATTCTCCTCAACAGATGTCTTCAGGGTTCATCTGTGTTGAACCATATGACAGAATTTCTTGTCCTTTCAAAACTGAATAATTTCCCACGATCTATGCATGTGATGTGCTTGTTCATCCCTGTGTTGTTGCACACCTGGGGTGCTTCTGCCTCCCAGCTGTGGTGAAGATGATGGCATGAGCTTGGCTGGGCCAGTGTCTCTGGGAACATCTAGTTTACTTTTCCTTCTTTGGTGTATTGTAGTAGTTGCTTTTCTGTTCCTGTGATAAAATATTCTGACTAAAATCAACTTAAGGAGGATAGATTTATCTTGACTTACAGTTCCAGGGATATAGAGTCCATCATGGTAGAGAAGGTATGCATGGTGACAGGAGCAGGAAGCTGGCTGATCTCTTTTCTTCCGCACACAGGAAGCAGAGCTAGAAAACAGGAGGTGACACTAAACTCGTAAAGTCCATCAGTGATGTACTTCCTCCCACAAAGCTCCACCTCCTAAAGGGGCTGTAGTATTCCCAAATAGCACCACCTACCGGGGATCAAATGTACAATACATGAGCCAATGGGGACATTTCTCCTTCAAACCACCACATTCCACTACAGGCCTTCCTGGGCTCATAGTCATCTCATGATACAAAGTGCATTTAGTCCAGCTTCAAAAGCCCCTATAGTCTTTTAACAGCCACAACACTGTTCAAAAGTTCAAAGTCTCTTCTAAGACTCAAAGAGTGACTGAATCGAGAGTAACTAAAACCACACAGCTGGGCGTACCTGTGAAGGATTTTTCTTGATTGGATCATTTAATATGGAAGATCCACCTTAAGTCTGAATCATTTGAAGTTGGAAAACCCACTCGAAATCCAGGGCACACCTTCTGGTGGCTTTGCACATAAGATGACATTGAAGAAGGGAACTTTTGTTCTTTGCATGCTTGTCACTCTTGCTGGCAAGTTCATCTCTCCTGCTGCTGAGGCATCTTTGCTGATATTAGAACCTACTTTGGGATTCCAGTGTAGACAGGCAGCTCTCTAGGATTTCCATGAGACTAGCACCAGCCTGGGACAGCTGAGACATCCAGCCTTGTGGACTGAACTACAGGATTCTTGACTTTTCTTCAGGAGACAGATGTTGTTGGACTAGCCAGACATACTGTCTCCTATTAATGTAATATAAGTTCATTTGATCAGTTTGCTCCTCTAGAGAACCCTGAGAGATACAGCAGCTCTCTGAAACTGTGAAGGAAGAACCCATGACTTCCTTGATCATGCATCTTCCATACATCGAAAAGCAGACCAAGTGGATGGCACTGCCAAGGTCAGCTGCCAGTGTGAAATGGACCCTGGGCCTTCCCTTGGAACACAGCTGTAGATGCTTCTGTATGCTGAAGCTGTGGATGAACTTGCCTAAGTGTTTTCTGGGAACAGAACCCCTTAGGCTTTCTCCTGTCACATGGTGTATGTTAGCTGGGTGAGGCCTTGCCCTCAGAGTCCCCTTCATCCCAATAAAGCTTCCCTTTAGTGATGTTTGTCTCGTTAACAGTCACAACCTTTTTCAGCAAATGACCTTACTGCAGTATTACGTTTCCTGCCGCTCGCTTCCTCTCCAAGCTGCACATTTTTTTCTTTCTGCCTGTTGCTTTTCTTCATGGTAGGCTTGCATCAGAGTAATCAGTAATAACCGCACCCTAGGCCTGGTGCTATGCTGTCCTGAAATTTCCTGCTTAATAAATGAGTCCAGTGCTCTTTATTCTGGCCTCATTGAAGTTCTCAGGGCAAGAGCAGAACACAGCCAGATTCTTTGTCAAATACCGCACGAATAGCCTCTATCCATTCCCCCGCTCATAATCCAGGCCTCTAGTGTTGACATGTCTCTCAGTATTATCTTCCACTAATAGCCCATTAAGTTCTGCTTCCAACATTCAACAACTTTCCCAGCCTAATTCTCCAGTGAAACAGTCCTCCTACTTTCTTTATTACTAATTTCTGTTGTTTCATTCTATTGCTGTGACGAAAACCGTGACCAAAACCACCTGAGGGGAGAAAAGAGTTTGTCTTACACTTCCAGATCACAGTCCATTGTTGTGCTCATCCTCAGCTAGCTCAATATCTTCCTCCCTCTATCTCTCCCTCCCTTCTTTACTAATTACCAAAACATTTTCCTCTTTTTCTTTAGTTATTTTTGTTACATGTATATAGCGTATAATTGAACCTGCTGAGTCCACTTAGTTTTGTTTGTATATGTTTTTAGGGCTGACCACTTGGTGTTGGATAACCATTTAAGAGGATAATCTCTGAAGAAAGATTTTTTCCCTCTCTCAGCAGTCAGTAATTGACTATAGCTCTTCATCTAGGCTTGGGACTTTGTAGACTTCCCTCATTCACTTTGGCATGCTAACTGGTCAGCTAGCTTTCTTAAAGTTTATTTATTTTTATTTTATGAGTGTGAGTATTTTTCTTGCATGTAGGTATGTGTACCAGGTGCCCGTGGATGCCAGAAAAGAACATTGGAGCCCCTGAACTGGAGTTTTAAGACATTGTGAGCTACCATGTAGGTGCTAGGAAGCAATTCGCTCAGAGATAACTGCCGAGCTATCTCTCCAGTCCCAGCTACTTTCTTACACAGTCTAGGGTTGGTGCCACCCACAGTGGGCTGTGCCCTCTTGAAGCAGTCATCAATCAAGACAATTCCTCACAAATAGGGCATCTGACCTGGGCAGTTCTTCATTGGTTCTTTTTCCACAGGTGACTCTGGGTTTTGTCACATTGACAATAAAACCTAACCAACACAGATATATACTGACAAATGGCATTGGACCATATGGTGATTCTGCTCTTAGGTTTTTGAGGAACTGCCATACTGTTTTTTGTTTGTTTGTTTGTTTTTTGTGGTAATTGCACCATTACAAATTTCCACCATGATGTTTGGATAAATAGGGCTTATTTTTAAAAATGTGTCTCTGTAATGACCTGACAGAAAATACAAGTAGCATAACATCAGAGGAGGTCCTTCTTTGTAGAATGTCTACATACCAAAGAGGACCCTCTCAAGGGTGGCTAAACATGGTAGACAGCTTTTCAGTTAGAAGCAACCTTCTCTGAGTTACTTCCCATGAAACAAGTGTTTTAGTATAGAGAAACTGGGATATTAAGTCTCTTTAAGGATAGTAATGTGACAGACCTCAGAAGCCACTGAAATACTAGACTTGGTGGCCTCCTGTCTTTGATGGGTCTATTTTCTTTCTCTCTTTCTGTACTGTGGCTTGCACTGTATGCGGAGCAAATGGGTTTAACTTCAGTTAGCCAAAGATGGAGGAGAGTCAGTGCATTCCCATCAAGAATTCCCAGGGAAAGGGAAGGATTGATCCCACCTGGAGCAACCGCTGCCTCTGTTGCATGTCCCTCCTAGGTATGGCCAGGGAGGTGGAGTTATATCAGTGTAGGGCATCAGTATCGATGTGAAGTGTGTAGATGGTATGGGAGGCAGCAGAGGCCTGGAAGAAAGGAAGTGACAGCTAGAAAGATGGAATATAGGGTGTGCTCTGTCCCTGGTATAGGAAGACAACAATGAACAGCCCATTGGGAGCACGTTGAAGAAAGCATAAAGGATTATCAAAGCCCTGGGTAAGATTATTACAAGACAGGAGACAAGCTGATGGGTTGCTTTGTAAATGGGATATGGAGAGGACATGGCAGTGAGGTCTTCACCTTCTGAGATCATGAAGGGATTATTCCCCATCAAGCATTAGCATCAGTGGTAATCACTAACTTGCTTAGTAATACCATGAGTCAGACAGCAGGCTAGGCCTTTTTATATGTGGGTCTTGTTCGGGCTTCTCCCCAGCCCTGGCTGCTCACTGTTTGCTGACTGAGTCTTCTGATCTATATTTCTGCAGCAGGACTAACACTGTTCTTTCCTTTCAGAGATGTGGTACTGGATCTTCCTCTGGGCTCTCTTCTCCTCTCTGTTTGTCCACGGTGCTGCAGGCGTGCTGATGTTTGTGATGCTGCAGAGGCACAGGCAGGGCAGAGTGATCTCCGTAATTGCTGTCAGCATCGGCTTCCTGGCCTCTGTGACTGGAGCTATGATTACTAGTAAGTCGACTTGTTTCTTTGAAGGATGTAATTTTATATGCAATTGTTTTGGTCAGTGCTGTCCTTAGGGTAAAAGAAGCCTTATCTTTCATGTAGACTCCTCCTTAGCACTTTACAACCCAGGGCCTCAAAGACAAAGAGGAGTTCACAAACTCACCAGACAGAAGATTTACTCTGGGGATTCATGGGGAATGGCGCTGGCAGGGGGCAGAGTGGTTCAGTCTGAAAGTGATTGTAGAAGAAGTAGTTTCTGCTTTAAAGACACCTACTGTTTACTAAGGAAGGGAGGTGGGCACTAAAATACATCAGTAACAGCTGTCATTTAAGAACAGGAAACTATGGCCTTTGAGTCTGTAGGGTCATCTGCCTGTGACAACAACCTAGAACTGCATTTCTTCCTGTACCACATATTATGACAAAACTTCTCTGCTCCAGGAAACGTACAAGTTTTCTGAGCTGTCTCTTACATGCCACCTGGTTTTGTTCCCCTGATACTGAACTTGGCCCTACTGTACCCTGCTCTTCAGAGTTCTGGTTTCTGAGGCTGCTGATTGAGCAGAAACCAGTTGCATCCTGGGAGCCCCACACTGCTTTCTTACTAGGTTGTGCTTACAGCTGGTGACTTCTCATACACTTAAGTGGCACCCACTTCTGGCTGTCTTCTACACCACAGGGACAGCTCACTGCTACACTGCATCTGTTTCAGGGTTCACCACGAGAGACTTCTTTGAGTTGATTCTGGCCACAGTGTGAGGAAGGCCTTACCTTTATAGTACACCTGTTCCGGAGGGATTAGCATGTCTTGTCTGAAGAGGGAAGCGGTCTACCTGTGTTGTCTCCTGACATCAACCGTAATGAAACACTTGTGGGAAAGAGTGATTTTTTTTCCCTCTCTTTCTCTTTTAATCCCGTCTTTACTGTTTGGTTTCCTGGGTTGGCTTATTTGGGGACATTGTGTGGCCTTATCCTGTGGTTTCTTATCTACCTTGTCACAGGTCAGGTTTGAAATGAGGGCCCAGGCCCAGGTTCGGCTGCTAGAGTCATAGGAGAGTCATCTGGGAAGAGACTGGAGTGACTGCTAAAGGATTTTGAAAGGCTAGCCAGAAAAGTTGGATTTTTTTCCTGCAAACGCATATTTTTATTTTCCTTTTTAAGAGATTCCTTTTGGTGTTTTGCCTGTGCATACATCTGTGCACTGTGTGCATGCGGTGTCTACAGAGGCCGGAAGAGGGCACTGGATTTTCTGGACCTGGAGTTACTGTAGGTGGTTGTTAATTGCCACATGGGTACTGGGACCTGAACTGAGGTCTTCTGCAAGAACAGTGAGAGCTCTGAACCTCAACGTTTCCAGGCCGCAGATAGATATTTTACAGGGGTTGGTAAGGGGTAAGCTCTTCAGTTAGACATTTTGTCCTGTAACTGTATATGGAGTGTATAGATATTTTACAGGGGT